GTTTTACTCCTTAATGACATCTACAAATCTACTACTGATCTTACTGATAAGCAACATTATTATCATATGTATATCAGCACTAAAAAAACCTACAGAAATAGTGTGAACAAGGCTAAAAAGGTATCAAATTCAAACTACATTACTCAATCCCATAACCCAAACAAAGCTGCATGGGACCTAATAAACTCTAGCAGGAAAACAAGAACAACTTTCAAAAATGACAATAGCCCTGATAACTTCAATACCTTTTTTATTGATAGCGTCACTGACATTGCTTCAAATTTCACCGATTCCAACACAGATCCAGCTGACAATGTCCCTTTCAACCCGCTGAATACTTTAGAAAACTGGAAACTTGTAACACCTACTCAAATCGAATCCATTGTCAAGAACTTCTCAAACTCCAACAGCCCTGACATATACGGGATAAATGTGAATGTTTTGAAGAACACCATTCATTGTATGTCAAAACCTCTAGCTGCTGTAATAAATCTATGTCTTGGAGACGGAACCTTTCCGAACTCTCTAAAGATAAGCCGCACAGTCCCGGTATTTAAGAAGGGTGACCCAAAAGAACTTTCGAACTATAGACCTATCTCTTTGATACCAATGCACGCAAAGATCATGGAGTGTATCATCAAGGAACAACTTGTTGACTTTTTTGAGCGCTCAAATCTTTTCACCGATGACCAGCATGGGTTCCGAAAGGGTAGGTCTACGACCACCGCTTTGTTAAATCTAATAACAAAGATAAATGATGCCTTCGACAACAAACTCATGACAAACTTAACCCTATGCGACCTTAGCAAGGCGTTTGACTGTATAGCACATGACGTCTTGTTAAGGAAAATGGAAAGATATGGAATAAAAAACGTCGCTTTAGAGACCTTTCAAAACTACCTAAGGGGCAGAAAGCAGGTGGTATCCATAAGGGGAGCTCTTTCCAGTGACCTGAACGTCAGCCTAGGGGTCCCACAGGGATCAAGCTTTAGGATGGATATAACAAGCTAAAAATAAACAATGACAAGACCCAGGAGCTGATATGCAGTCTTAAACATCAGAATCCACAACAACAACCTGTGAAACTGCTTGGTTTTTGGCTGGATGGCAAGTTGACTTGGGATAAACACATAGGTGAGTTAGATGCCAGGACTTTCTAGAACAGTTTTCCTTCTAAGGAAGCTAAAAAACTTGGTCACTGATACCTACTTAAAATTAGCCTATTATGGCCTCTTCCACAGCCTAATGAGCTACGGTGTCATCGTCTGGGGGCACACTTCGGAAACAAGAACTATTCTGAAAACTCAAAAGGCTGCTATAAGAGCCATAACATCCAGCGCAAGGCATGAACATTGCAAACCACTGTTCCGTGACTTAGGAGTGATGACTGTTTACAGTCAATTTATTTACAACTGTCTGGTGCATGTTAAGGAAAACATAGGCAACCAGCTGCAGAAACCAACTTCATGATCACAACACCAGAAGTGGAGAAATTTTAAACATTCCTTTCTGCAGGCTGAGCAAGCAAAAAGACTGCTATCCTGTCCTTGGCATTAGGCTCTACAACCATCTGGACAAGAACATAAAGTCACTCCCTCTCAGGAATTTTAAAAAGAAAGTCGAAGAACTACTAAAGTCACGGCCTCTCTATTCCATTAGTGAATATTTTGTTGAGGAAAGCGATGAATGGATCTCATGACCTACTGCCATGTTAACCAATTCTAAAGTATTAACACTTTAAACTTTTTTTGACGAAATCTATCCAGTCATTACTGGTCAGCGATGGATGTATGGTATAAAGGTATAAAGGTATTTGAGGATCATATCAAAATACAATTTTTGAGGTATTCAATATATTATACCTCATGTAGATTTGGCTCAAGACTAATACAATTAGCGTCGCCCCTTTAGTCATATGCTAGTGTATTATTGTTATTTCCCTATTATTATCTTACTTGCTTATTGAATCACCTTATTTTCCAGTTTTTTTTTCTGTTTTGAATTATTAATACACTTTCTATGAGTATTAGTAATCGTATACATTTCTTTGACACTAAACTTTTATTTTCATTAAAAGCTGTAAGTAAATTAAATATTACAAGAGGCAGATAGCAACTAATCTAAATGAAATTATGCTCACTTTATACGCAAAATATGTATTTAATACAAAAAAGTGTTTAATTTCATTATGTACGAGTTAAATAATTTTTTTACTTAAAATACATAATGTCAATGAACGTAATCAAAATTTTCTTCATTGTTAAGCATAATTTTATTTTCATAAGGTTTTAACGGGAACTTTTGTGGCCAAGCTCTTGCTGAACATACTAAAATATTAAGTCATGTATGCAATCTTCATCTTAAGTATTGTTGCTAAGAATTCTTGTTTGCTACTTTCATGATCTTTTTAAAGACCTACTTTCTGTCTAGCTATCCTTATCTAACTGTAACGTAACTATAATGTTACTAGTAATTATTTTATTTACTATTACTTTTCCACTATGTTTATTTTATCAAATCAAATACAATATAAAGAAGACCATGTTGTCTACAATCAGGAATTTATGGTTTATCAGCTCAACAACTAAGCCACGGCAGTCGGAGGAGAAATTCTATTTGCAAATACTACAGCAGAACTTGCTCTAATAAGGAAAAAACATTTTTTTCTTCAATCACTTCTACTTCATTAATTTATTAAACTTCTGTTAACTATCAATAGCACTTGATTTTTAACAGGTGTAAGCACTATGTTAATTCATTCTAATAGCACCTTAGCAAAGCAATTAACAACACGTGTATAGTAGAGAGCTAAACGAAAGGGTGCTAATGGAAGCTTTTCGTTGTTATCCAATAAGATGGTGTCACCGACAACAATGCCTTCTATATTACAGCACTTGAGAGCAGACGATAAAATGAAACGTCAGTCGCAGCCTTCGTCTTGACAGATACGAGGATTCCCAATTCTTGTCCAAAATATTAAACTTTCTACTTTTGATTACTCTATGTGCATTTCCTGGTTTTAGATTACGATGTGAACGAATTCATATGTTTTAATGGAAAAAATTACAGTATAAGCTCTAATCAGTCAGCCATAGAAAATTGAATAACAATTTTGTACATACGTCGTACTTTTCAAGGAAGAATACAAATCTGAAGGCTTAGGAATTTGTTAAAATTTGTGAAAATACCTTTTCACAATAGGATTACAAATTACCTGTTCAGTATGCTGAAATAAAAACAATACAATAATTTAAGGTTAGAGAGATTTTGAGCTTTGAAAACATTAAATTAATTAGAAATTAGAATAGATTTATATGTTTTATGGTTAAACTACCTCTTTTTACGTTCATAGAGATAATATGTATGTGGTCTGATAGCTATATGGGAATGTTTACTTTTGTAATGATTTTGTTTTCATTATCTAGTTGTGTTGTTTTATAATAGTTAAGTTTTTATTTTATCTGTTTAATCATTTAGTTCTCACGAGGAAGGTTAACGTGTGTAAGACAAAATATATAAGTGTTATACTTCCTTATTATAGTTAATAAGTAGGCCTAAGTGTGGTGATGCTATAAACTAAATCAAACCAAAGATGTAAACGTTATTCTATAATGCTAGTTGCATACATGTTCGGTAATGTCTGATATAAATGAGATATGCTGTGTTTCTTAAACCAGGTATTGTTCTACCTGTAATTTTATAGTGATTTCTATTCAACTTCTTTGATTACCCTAAAACACATTCATATTTTGTGTTCAAGTAGTTCAAAATGAGTTCTAATATTAATTGAGTTGATATTACAAACATATAATCTACTATTTTGTTTCCTGTAATTTCAAGTTGTGAATGTTTTTCATTGTAAAGTGGCTATGCCGTTGGGAAATAAAAATAAAATAAAATAAATACCTTTATCGAGCAGGATAGCCTAGTCTTTTAATGTCTCGGGCTGATAAACGGGATATGGCTTGAGGAGATTGGCCTCCTACATTACCTAATTGCCAAATCGGTACTTTAAAATCTTAAGAATACCGTGCTGACTCAAAGTCTACATTAACGGTGGTTTAGGTAAAAAAAACAAATGAAAATAGATATATTTTTTTAAAATTTGACCTATATATTTTGTTTAGTTTATGCGTATTCTTGAAAGGGGTACAACTAAGTTGCTCTAATAACTTGGGCCATTTCAATATTTTTAATTGAATGAAAACTTGAGAAACTATAACAAATTCAGCAAATATACTATTTTAAATAAGATGACTCAAAACAGAACCCTGTAAAATAAATACAGTAATAATGATAACAATCCAACAACAAATATCCTAAAAACAAATAACACTAAAAACTAATAAACAAAATAACTAATAAATGAAGAAAAAGTAATAAAATATAAACAAATAAATAATATTAACACGTAACATAATTACAAAACCTTATTGTAAAAAGTAGCCTAATACACAAACCTGAATATCTATACAATTTCAATAGACATAAAAATAAATGAATATAACAAGATAAACCACAAGAGAAAAAATATGAAAATTAAAATTTGCATAGAATTGAATCTGGCCCAATTTTCTAGGACAAATACACATATATTTAGCCCCAAATAGTAGGCCTATATGGGAGGCTTATCTATTATTTATCTAACCCAGTTTACAAGTTACAGTGGGGTAATAGGATCCACGACAAAAACCCAGAGTCTCAGGTTCGAAGCCATTAAGTCGCCAAACAGCGATGTGTCGGGTTACGAGAGTCATTAGGTGATAATAAAATGCTTCAACAGATGTTGTTTGCCCCTTTAATGGACGGGGAGCGAGTGTAATTGGTCGGGAGGGGGGAGGGGGTGGACACGCCCCTAGGGGTGGTGGACCAATGGGAGAAGAGCATCTTCCCGCCTCGCCACGCGCCTCTGGAACTCCTGTCATTTATTGCTGGACCAACGCGAGTTTCACACGTTAGGATGCCGGGTTCAAATTAAATGTCTCGTGTTTGAAAATTTAATTTATTTTTAAAATCCACAAATTTATCGAAACGATCGTAAACTTTATTGGAAAGTGTTAGCAAAAGTGCGTCTCCTCGGAGATTTTTGAACGGTTCAAAATTGCGTCAATAACGGCGTCTTATCTGAAGCTGGGGGATTCCCCGAGTCCTTCCTACAGCGACTCCGACCGTCCCGAGGACGAGGATGACTTCTACCTCCAGAGGCAGCGGTTGTTGAGTTACCGGGGGCTCCAGGAAAGGATGGAGTACGGATCTCCATTCCATCAGCGGCTTGCAGGGGCGTATGGAGTCTCAGCGCCCGCGGATTTGTCTAAAAGAAGTCCACCCAGAGAGGGCTCCAGGTCGTCTAATGTTCCTTCGTCGTTGTTCACCATAGATAGTATCCTCGCTCCGAGACCGGCCACGACGACTTCCTCATCGTCGTCGACCTCTTGTCTGTCCCCGCTGCCCTCCAAGTTACCCGCCCCCACGTTACTGAGGCATCCTCTGCACTTCGGACACCTTGCGGCGGTCGCGTCAGGGTTCACGCCAACCTCTTCGGATTTCTTGGGTAAGCATTGTTTTTAAACAGAGCAATTTTAAATGTTATGTTCTCAAAACATTAGAACCCCCATATGATTTAACTATGTATTTGACATTAAGGGCATGGTCTTCAAATGAACTACAATAGATTTTAGATTCTTAAAAAACTTAATTGACGATTAGTCGTGAATAGTCCAATCTTTGTACATTGTCCAGTCATTAATTTTGTCCAACCTGTTTGATTTAAATAACTTCTTGATTATAATTTAATGTGTATATTCATTGATATTCTTTGAATCTTGTACAAATTGTCTATCAATTTAGTAATCACGTAACATTTAGCATATCAATGTTACTAAAGTTTCTACTAAGATATATGAAAAATCATAAAATGGTACCGTGGGGTTTCTTTCGCATTTAATATTATTTTTAAACCCTCACTAACAAAACGTGCTCCAACTAAATTACAATGTGACCACAATGATGTTCCGTTTTTAAACTATTTCACTTTAGTTTTTTTTTATTTAAGGTTTTTTAGTGTTGACAATAGATTTGCTATGTATTTTTAGTAATTTTTTATCACAAGAAATCAATGTTAGTCGTCTCAACACCTCTCTTGAGTATATGGTTTATAGCAATGGCTAACCGGCGCTTCAGGCGGCTATGCCATTTACGTGTTTGTAAATGGTGTAACCGTTGATATGAATAAATGAAATGAAATGTCGATTTAAATCTATTCGAGGAGTAAATTGAGCCCACCTGAATGACATGCAAATAGACAAAATACAACAATTAAGTGTAATACTTTATTTAATTTTAAAATTAATACTTTTTATTTACTGTCCTGAGCGGGTGAACAGTTTTAACAATTTTCACAATGATGTGATTGAATCTAAAGAAAAATTATAATTTATTCGTTAAGTTCGGTTAGTTTTATCCATTTAAAGACTTAAAATATAAAACTAATTTTTATCTACTTGTTCTATATGATCAGTTTGTACTAAATTGAAAACAAATTTATTGACCATTAAATAAAAACGTTATATAGGTTTATAACCTTATTAGGGTACTTGCGTAATTCAAGTGTCGGTTTTGTGTGATGTTACACAATAAAGATGTGATTAAAAAATCGGGTTGAAATATTATTACAACTATTTAATTTGCAAGATAAGTAGTGATCTCTTTTTATTTAGAGTGTGTAAACATCTGTCAAAGAGTTTTAAGGTTTAATAGTTATTTTAATCAATGTTAGTTAGTTAGTTAGTTGAGTATTTTAAAATTATAACGACTTCAAGATAGCTATTAAAATTTACAACAAATGTGTATGAGGAGTAGTTAATGTTAGTAGTCTATTTATAATTTAAACATTTGCCTTGATAAATATTTAAAATTTATCTTTATTTAATTTTTCCGAGGTTAATGGCTTGCCATAGAATCGTGAATACGTGGCTATATTGATAAAAGTTATAAATAACTCTATCATGGTACCAATTATGTGTGAATTTTTTTTTATTTAAATTGGCGGGCGTATTTATTATAATTTTGCATATTATTATGTAGCAAATATTATATTAGCAATGTTCAATTATGCACATAAAAATTGTTTGAGCGTAAAAATAAAAATATTAACTAATCTTTGCCTAAATAATATTTCCATACAGTATATTACTTAAATCTGTGGAAAACTGGAAAGCGGGGTGGTTCTAATAAAAACCTTCAAATCTGTGTGTGAGGTTAATTTTTAGTGAAGAATCCTGGATCTAGATGATAGTTTTTTTGCCATTTATCTATCAATTCAACTATGCTACCTAACAAACTGACAATGTTATTTTTTTAAAGTTCAGGTTTTGGAATTTCCTTGCAAAAACATAAATAATAAAACAAAACCAATTAAACCAAAATTAAATATTACAATTTGAGCTAAAAGATAATCCAGTATAATAAAATACGAATTGACTGGCAACCGGGGTGATTAGTCGACACGTATAACTATTTAATATATTCTTGAGGTTTACCATCTAAGGAGTGTGTGAAGTTTTAGTATTTGCTAGAGTTCAAAAAGTAAAACGAAAAAAATATCAGTACTTTTGTTCTTAAATGCAAATTAAAAAATAATACTGTACACCAATTCCGTACTCGTACAAAAGCGTCAAAATAAAAATCAAAACACCATCAAGACACAAGAGCACATTCAAGAAAATGAAAAAAATGTTTGCAGCACGTAAAAACCGTGTACTACTTCTAAATAACCTTAAACGCACATCTTTTATCAAAAGAGGTAAGGTACCTATCCCCGAAAGATCCTAAAAAATTTTTAGCTCATGCATCGCACATAGCAAACATACAAGCACAACGCGTTAGCGCATAACTTATTTCAAAATTAACCAAGATTTTAGCTAAAGCTCACAAAAGCGCACCGAAGGAGAAAATAGTTGTATTATCGTTATAATGGCGTTATTTTGTCATCTGTCATAGATCCAGGCCGCATTCAGCCCCTAACAATGCCAGTGGTTGTAACAGACACCTTGGGGGGGGGGGGGAGGGGGGACCCTAGAGAACAAATTTGGGGTGGAGTGTAAATAGCAAGGGCCACACACCACACCAACCCTCCGATATATCATGTTCCCATCATCTCGCATGGCGTCCTTGTCTTTTTAGGGTTGCAATTTTACTTTTTTACATTTTTTTTACCAAATTAGGTCTTCTTTTGTGTCTGAAGTGGATACTATGTTGATGCGGAATACTACCCCCCGGAAAACCACCACTTCATGTGAAACGTGACGTCACGAAATATTCCAACTAACCAATATGGGAGTCTCCGCGACTGGAATACTACGTCCTAGTAAAATGTGATGCTATGTAATTGTAATTTTAATTCGAGTAATTCCGTTTGATAACAGAAAAGGCAAGTGGGGAATATCATACAACATTTTGAAATCACAGCAAGTTTGGTTGGTTAGGTTAGGTTAGTTTAGAACAGCATGACAACGAAACTTAAGTGCCCGTGACTGGAAAACTGCCCCCCCTCCGATCTCTGACGTCAACATGACGTAGGAACCTGCTTGGGGGGGTAGTTGTCCGGGGGACAGCCTTCCGTCGACTCAATATTATTTATAGAGGGGAAAGGTAGTGGTTAAATCTCAAGATTAAATTTAGTTTAGCATAATACCAATAATTTCAGTTCCGTAATATTTTGAATGGTGAGGGCGAGTTTCAACCTAATTTGCCAACCACGATAGTTGTTAAACCACTTGTTGGTAGTTCTAGGCAGTCACAGAAACTATTTGACACGACAGTAGAGCTATGGTGACTATTAGGTGAGATTTAATAGAAACAAAGTGCTAAATACAAAAATGATGGAAACCCCTGAGGATTATTTCTGTTGATAATTATTTTAAAATATTGTTGTTGTATTACTTCAAATTCATTGCAATATGCCTTTAAGACTAATTTCTCATAGGGAATAAGTTATTACTTTAGGCGACAAGGCACGGTAAGACCTAGACCCGGGACTGATTTAATATTTTATATAAAACTCTCAACAGAAAAACGTTTATAAAAAAAGCAAATGAGGATAGAAACACAATTATTTATTGTGTATACAGCACCGACTAGCATTGTGCATACATTTTTATCTATCTATACTATTATAAAGAAGAGGTGGTGTCTGTGTGTGTGTTTGTATGAGCTAATCTCAAAAACTACTGAACCTATTGGGCTCAAATTGCACACACATGAAGCTACAGTTCCGAGGATACATATAGAACTATTCCCGCTTCAATATTGTCCTAGGGCTATGCCCCGTGGGCTTTCAAAAATCGGAGGTGAGAGATTTCAAAGTAAATTTTAATTGATGGTATCCATGACAACAAAGAACAAACCTACAAGGTTTAAAAATGTAAACAAGCAGTACTAACTGTCAAATTAATTTTGATTTCACAATTCCATACAGCTGGTTCAAACATTCATTTAAATACTGCATGAATATTAGAACAGGGAGGGTAAGGATCATATTTAAAATAATGATGTCACTATCCTGAATGTAAACATTATTTACATTATAATAGGATTCTTTCAGTTACATAATTACAGGGTGCAGCACTATTATTTTTTTGCATTTATGACAGCTAATTTGAACCAACTAGCCACAAAAAGCTGTGGTACACAATGAGACCTTTACTTTTTTCTATGGTTCAGGGGCAGTGGTAGAACAAAAGAACCAAACTTTCTTAAACCATGTCCTCACCCATAACTGCGATAAGCATTTTATACTTATATGCCAACCCCGTACGAAGGACGGGTACTCTGCTAGTATTTTATAAATTATGCGTTATCAGCTATTAATTGATTACCAATTAATCAAACAATCATTTTCAACATGTTTTAACGTTAACATGTGAGAAAGATCGTCTCCCTAACCAATTTATTTTTTCAATACCCACGATGGTAAATGCAATTCCAAGCATTTACACACACACATTTTCTCTAGACAATTTCATTGTTATCAACAAATTACTTTTATTTTCAAAAGACAAAAGTAAGATTATCGATTCAATACTGTAGTTTACAATACTTACAACTCTAAAATCCTATCCTCAAATCACAGGATTGTCCCAATACTGCAAACTTAAGCTCCGACCGACAAAGTAGGGTAAATATAAGAATTCAAAAGCGTCACGGCAAATGCAATCCGGGCCCCGGGGACGTTTCAAATTTGAGATGCGTCGGGGCGGCGGCGCATACTTAAGCAGTCTTAACGCCGAAATCCGCGTCACGTTCATTTCTTCACACCCGTCTTGTTACGTAATCCGCGAACTGGGTTTCTAGGGAAACATCCTGTGGAAATACTTAAGTTTTCAACGTTCGGTGTCATCCCAAAAGCAGTCGTCACCAAGTAAAGCAGTGTCTGTTGAAATTGTTATACAGGGCGTTTCGTAAAACTGATTGAATTTGTGATTAAATTTGAGGTTGTAGATATTTTTAATATAGGCATCGTACTCTTCTCAACAATATGTCTCGTAAATATTT